GGTGTGGGAAATGCGGGAAGAGACTGGACAAAAATCATGCACCTATGGATGAGGACAGTGGGTGGGGAGTGAGGGCAGAGGGTGGGGTGGGAACTGGGAGGAAGGGAGTTATGGGGGGAAAAAAGAGGAACAAATGTAATAATCTGTACAATAAAGATTTAATTATTAAAAAATAAATAAATAAATAAATAAAAATTAAAATCTCAGAGGAGAAAGTGGCAGCCAAATAGCAGCCAAATAGGCAACGTGTCCTGCACCTTATCCCAGGGCCAGACCGGAAATACAATTAAATTGGAGAACATTCACCTGGAATTACTGAGGTACAGCTAAGGAAGAGACTTACATCAAAGAAGGACAGAAAGCACCTGGAAACTGGTAGGAAGGGCCAGGTCAGGAGAGGAGCTGACCCAGCTCCCAGGGGCAGCAGGCCCAGAGAGGACGGAGTGCTGGGCCACAGGAGGGTCTGTTCCCTCTGATGACAGAGGCCCAGAACCCAGGCTCGACACCGGAGCCGAGACCTGCAGCCCACGTAACATACATCTGTGAAAGGTGGCAGACCTATAGGCCACTGTGGAGTCTGGCAGACTGGAGCCGGTTGGAGAGAAACCCAGAGCATATGAGTTTTCATTTGCAACTACTCACCTGAGGCTTTGGTGCAGGGAGGGAGGCACAGACTGAGGTGCCTACAGAGAGGCTGGCGTGGGAAGCAGTGCAGGGAGACATGGGAAAGCAGTAGTCAGGAATCCTGTATTTGGTCTTGCGGATGCATCCAAACCGAAACTGCCATTTTTCCAGAGAGGAGCTACCTGCTCCCAGCAGCCACAGGCCAACAAACGACAAGTGCTAGTGAGGATGCGGAGAAAAGTGGACCCTAGTACACCGCTGGAGGAATGTAGGCTGGTGCAGGCATTATGGAAAACAGTATGGATTTTCCTCAAAAATATATGGAACTGCCATTTGACCCGGGATTCCATTTCGAGGAATATATCCTAACAAACCTGAAACACCAATCATAAAGAATATATGCACCCTTATGTTCACAGCAGCACAATTTACAATACCTAAGACATGGAAACAACCCAAGTGCGCATCAGCAGATGAGTGGATGTGACACATTTATACAATAGAATACTATGCAGCAGTAAAAAAAAAAAAAAAAAAAAAGGAATCTCTTACCCTTTGAGACAGCATGGAGGGACCTGGAGAGTATCATGCAAAGTAAAATAAGTCAGTCAGAGAAAGACAAGTATCACATGATCTCACTCATACGTGGAATCTAAGTAACAAAATAAACTAATCAATGCAGTGAATCCAGAGACATGGAAACATGGAACAGAGAGTGGAATCTCAGAGGGAAGGGAGGGGGAGTGTAAGTGGGTGAGAGGTAATCAACCAGGGACCTTGTATGCATATATGAATGGCCCATGGACCTAGACAATGGGGTGGTG